ATTTTGCAAATGCTAAATGGACAAGAACTATTTAGGTAAATTGTAATAAGCATAAAAATAAGTTTAGCTTTTGGGAATATGTATGAAAAGTGGAAAAACTTGAAAAAGCATTAGTGTAGCAAGAATTTCTTAATACTCATCGTAAAAACTTATACTACTAGTACTTATACACAACTTTTAGAAATATTTACTCATCCAACTACCTTAAATAGTAAATTATGTTTAAATTTTTCTTCACACTATATATAATTTTTAAAGCATCAAGATCCTTTTGGGAAAATATTAAATAATTTGTGCGCTGGAAATTGCAGATATTGATCAGGCTTTCCTTTGGCATTGGTGAGCTTTATGGTGTTGAACCCCGATACTGATGATGGGTATATTAAGTTATATCTCCCAATTTTATATCTTACAACTATAGCTCATTGATTGGTTCGTCTAGACGGACTTGTAGCCATTTTAGCTGGTAACTTCTTCACCTTCTTGTTAGTCATTTGTCTGCATTTTCAGCTCATTTGTTTTGCATAGCTTGTTGTTCTGGCTTTGTCCGCTGGCGTTCAACAAAATGTTTTGCATATGTCAGAAGAGACGCGTAGTCAGAGTCGAGTGTCCAGAGCCGCATGCCCATCAATCTGGGGCATCAATTTGAGAAATGCATCAAAGTTGGCAGCCCGAACAGCTTGATTAGTTAGTTGTACAGCTCACAGGCAGCAACAGCAGCAATAACAACAACAACAGCAACATCACCTAACAGCAACAATAGCAACAACATTCGTTTTGGCAGCCAAGTGCATGTGGCTCATTAGTCTGGTGCCGCTGAGGAGGCTGTGAAATTGGGAATCGTCTGGCGATGGTGTCTACATCAAATTTAAGTTTTAATAATTGGCTCACATTTATATGCTGCCTTAATTTGATTGTGCCGTCGAATGTTTTTCCAGCATTCGACTGATCAATTAATCATCTCTCATTGATTGTTGTTGTTGTCGTTGTTGCTGTTCTCGCTGTGGGCGTGGCAGCCCTAATGAAGTTGCCCATAGTCCCGAGGCGTAGTCGGGGTAGGAGCGTTCCCAACTCGTTATGCGGCTGCTAATTCCAAATTTCAATTGGCAACTTTCGCCAATTGTTCGAAGTAAACGGTTTTTTTTATATATGTTTTTTATGCCCTATACCTATTAAAAACGGTTAAGTAAACTAATGAAAAATTACCCAAAGTCAAAGAGGTTTAAAAAGCATTTGCAATAAAAACATCAACTTAAATGTTACTTGTTGCTGTTGCGGATGCAGATTTTATATTTTATCATCTCTTAATCATTATCGATGCAGAAGCATTTACACGCAAATGTACATAAATATCGCGAATATATATATATATATACATATATCTGACTTCCAACAGAACGGAATTTGTGTTTGGAATTAATTAAATATCAGTAATAGAAGCTGGCATTCACAATTCACAAAAGCTAATTAGATGCTCGCTCATTCAATTGAAATCAAATTATATTAACCATTTGCAATAAGATAGAATCGCAGTGTTCAACTGCAATTTGAAAGTTTGCAGTTGCCTTTGCTGTGTAGAGAGAGAAACAGAGAATAAGTTCTCTTATTGGTTCTCTGTGATATTCTCTAATGACAGCATTTCACAACGGACATACAAATAACATGTAGTCGGTTCCTATTTTTGTAGTTCTGTGGATGCAACCAATTGAATGTGTTGTTGCTGCTGCTATGGCAAATTCAAAGATTAAAAGAGGCAGACATTTTTTGTTCCTATTTATTTTTTTAATTTTTTGTCGTTGTGTGTGAAATAAAGTGCAAAGTGAAATAAGACAGAGGCGATTATTGTGAAGAAATTATGGCGAGTTGTTGCGTGCAGAGTATCACCTAGTCGGGCACTCTCGCCTAGAGCACTTTTGTGCTTTTGAGAATGTGTGCCAAATTCAACTGGAAAAGAGTGCGCAACAATTTCGTGGGCAGGCTGAGCGCTCCGAGTGGGTTCCTTGGCAGACCTTTTGTCGCCACAACAGCTCGCGATGAAATTAAAAACGTCTGGGATCACGTTCAGGTCTCGAACCCCGGCCGGCCTGTTGGGTTAATGCTAATCAGTGTCATCGCATCAGCGGCAAAAGTGTTTGGATATTTGTTAAATGAAAGCGAAACGCATGCAGCCAACAACAGACAACAGGCAACAGACAACAGGCAACAGGCAACAGGCCTTGTCCCGCCAGAGAGAGCGACTGCAGAGAATATCCCATGGACTCCTATCGTGCTGCAAAAATCAAGTCATTGGTCGTTACCGACGTGTTCTATGCCCTGTGTGTCTGTCCGTTTGTCTCTCTGTCTGTATGTCTGTCTGTGTGTCTGTCTGTTTGGTATGCATTCGTTGCGCAATTAATTAACTTGAGCATTTTTAAATGTGTTTGCTGGTTGCTTGCTGGCTTTTCGGTCGGGTGTTACCATTTTAATGCCCTGCACAGCAAACAACCAACAACAACAGCAACACCAACAACTTGAACAAGTTCTTTAACATGTCTAATTAGTTGTTGGCCAGTTGGTCGCCTTTGCTGTTGTTATTGTTGCTGTTGCGGCTGCTGCGTGCGATAAAAAAAAATGCATGGCACTCATTTAGTGTTTTCTTAAGCTGAGACATAAATTTGCAAGCTGTTAAAAGGGACGGCTCTGCAATGCGATGTTATTGCTTTTGCGAACTCTGCTGCTGCTGCTGCTGCTGCTGCTGGCCAGATAAGTAAAACATGCCTGTTGTCTCAATTTTGTGGCTATGCTGATCACCCTGCGATCAATCCGACGCTGGCAGCAGCAATAAGGACTTGAGTGTACTAATTATAGAGCACAGTATACATATGTAGTCCAATGTGTACATACATACATATATTCAAATGTTTTCAAGCATTGTTTAACATATTTTATTTGAATGATCAAATCATTTCCTGTGAGTTTTGAGCAGAAATTTTGTTTTCAACCAATCAAACCATGATCAAAAAATATGAATTTTTTAAAGATTTAAACTGTTAAGTAATCAGTTAAGCAAAATTATGGCGGCAGTAAGTCTAGATCTCTCTCTCTCTCTCTGATTGCTATTTTTTGGGATAGAACTTACACTCCAAGTTAGCTGACTTACCTCTCTAGCTCTTACAATCTCTGATGTCACCCATGGACAAATCTATTCAGCTGTTGATGCTGATCAATAATTGATATGCTTCCTTTTGCCTGTTACATACATACAGACTTCATTATACACTTTTAGAATTTGTTTAGCGTATACAAAGGAATATATTTAATAATTATTATTGAAAACCCATTAATGTAAATGTGTTATTGTTGTTGTTGTTTGCTGCTCGTGTGTGCATATAGAAAGCGGAATTATTTCATTTGCCTGCTAATTGCATTCTGTGTGTGTTTTTGTGCTAATTTGAATTTAATTGCACGCATTTTCAGATGCGTCTTTGGGGTCGCTTCTGGTAATGTGTTTGGCTTAATAATTGTGAGCCGGCAGCGGGCACGCTCGCTTGACAGCGGGCTAATGCGAGCTCCGCCGAATTGCCGTATGTCGCTCCGACTAGGTGGCACCACCACCAGTAACCGAATCCCCAGAATCCGCTCCGTGCGTGTTTTGTCTGTGGCTCTATGTCATTTTAATGGCTGGCGCTGCTGCCACTGCCGCTGTTGCTTGTGCTGTTGCTGTTACTGCTGCTGTTGCTGTTGCAAATGACCATTGGCGTTTAAACTGGTTGGCGCAGCTGTGCCCACTCAGAATGCGTGCCAAGCTGCACCACCAAAAAGGAACGAACTGACGCGTCTTGCCTCCCGGTAGCCAACCAGGCTGACCAGGCCGACAGGCCAGCACGCCAGACGTCGGCTTCTGCCCGTTCTTTCGTTTTTCGGTGTAATTAATCATGGTGCATAAATGAATACAGCCAGCAGTTAATTAACTTACCTTTATTTAACCAACATTTGCAGGGCAGAGCACATTTCTGATGGAATAACATGCCATCAACTACGAGTAGTACACACAAATTCACACCTTAGCCTTACCAATTTACTACTTCGCCTCAGTTGGCTATTAAAAAATATTACAGAAAATCCAAAACACAAAACCTGAAATGTGCTAATGAGCGATCCATTGTGGCAGCTGCTATTGTGATTTGGCATTTACTTCTGATTGCAACTGCCAGGTGCAAAATCACCGTTATCCGTACATACAGAAAAAATCGACCTAACAAAATCAAAATAAACAATCTAACGAGTTACAAGCTCCATGCTTAAATTAAAATACCCACTGGAAGAATGTAAGAAGTATACTTTCTTTACTTTCCCAAAAATCCTGCATATTTATGAAATGTGGCTTATTGCAATAGCATTCCGCTTTTCTCTCTGTGTACGTTTTTGTGCACAACCTTCGGTGCATTGGCTTTGGGGGAATGCGGCCCCATAATTTGGCCGATTGTCAGCCGCAAAAAAGTTAGTTTCTGTGGCTGCACCCACTAATTATTTTAAAGTAGTTGCCCAACGCGACGTCGCGTCGCTTTAGAACTTTTGCCTAGATTTATTGACTATGTTAGTCAAAGTTTTGCGATTTTCGCGCTGCCACGCCCACAAAACAAAAAGCCTGTTTGCGAAACCGCCTCCCTTGTTGTTCGGCAACATCAGCCGCTGACGGCGACAATGCGAAATGGCTTTTAAATTGCGCTTGCCGCATGCTTTAAGGGGGCGTGTCAGCGCCCACATCACATCCAAGTATATTGATTTTAATATGGCCGACTGGGCTCCCTGTCGGTACAATCGGGTCAAAGGTTAATTGGCTAATTGTTCAAACAGGTTGTTTTCGGTTTTGCCTTGTCGAACTTTTGCTATGCGCACCGTTTTTAGCTTTGAGTGTCTTCAAATTGTTTGTAGTTGTAGCTTGTAATAATATGGAGATAAATAAATAAAATTATTATGTCTATTATAAAATTATACTCGAAGTGTATATTTGTGTTTGACTCTTGGATTACATATGCAAATTGGAGTTGCCTTCTGGAACTCTGGAAGACGGGGAAGACACCTCATATCTGCAACAATTCTTAACTTAGATTCACCAAACTTGGAACGTAGGTGGCTGATGACCTCATTCAACAATCTATATCTTTCGAGCTAGATGACATTAATGATTATTCAATTGTCGATATCAGAGTGTTAAGCAACGTTCTTACTTGTTTATATATTCCATTCATTAGTTTGTGTCATAAGTATATTTATCTTTCGTGTGATCCAGTTATCCAAATTGGTCGCTTGCACCGACTTATCACCATCCCTATCATCATTATCATCATCGTCATCATCATTATCCAGCGGCACATGTAGAACCATTTCAATCTGGCTCGAACTTTAATTGATAAGTTAGAAGCTGGCTGCGAAAGGCACTCCTTGAACTACAGCAATTTGAAGGCATCACATTAAATAAATCTGTCAGTGTCTTCAGTTGCACACCCATTCCCAATCGAGATCTGCAGTCGGGTCGCTCGTTGGATCTTGATCTATTGGTCTGTGGGAGACCACCTCTGACCGACAAAAACCAAAAAAAAAAAAACCAAAGGTGAAGCGAAATACTAAAACCAAAACTCATTTGGAGAGGCTGGCGCCCAATTTGTGGAAGGCGCCTTTTAATATAAATCGTTTGCCATTTATCTTGTGTCATTAATTGTAAATATAACTAAGGCAGTTTCTACAAAAGCTCTTTTCCTGGCCACTTTCGACCATAACTCCGCTCTCCGCGTTGCGTGCGCTTTGTGGGCGTGACTGAATGAGCGCCAAATGAGCGCCTCATTAATTTTAAGAAAATGGATTTTCAAATAAAACCCAAAGCCATAATTTACTTTTAAAAATTTGCGCCCAACATGTGCATTTTCATGCGATGAGAGATTCGAGAATTGCACGCACCATTAAGAAAAATTCCACACGATTCGCAAATGATCCGTTCAAAATGCATATAAACCACATATAATTATAATTTGTTACAAAGTCAGGCTATGCAAATTACACTAATTATTTATTATTATTATTAGCACGAATGCGAAAACAATAAAAAATAATAATTACTGCCATTAAATGCATTGGGTCCGCCGCAATATAGTTGAGCACCTATTAATTCATTGTAAACTTAGTTTAATCGCCATGAATTTAATATAATAAGGTGTCAGATACATTATTTCACCTAATTACCATTTATGAGCATTTTTATGGAATACTGTGAGGTCTGAAGTTACACAAGTTCAATAAAACTAGTGACTATGTTTAAGTCGGGCGTTACCGAGTGCGGCATACTCTGTTACCAGTCTAATACTAGCTGATCAGAGGTGGTTAGAGTTTCTTGAGGGGGTGGCAGTGGCTGTTAAATTAAATAATTATAAGTACCTTTTAAATTTTGTGACTCTAGCTCTAAGCAATATATACGATTTCGTGATTTTTTGGGGCGTGGGGCAGGCGTATCCGGAATATATATAGATTTGCCGAGCAAGTTTAGTGACTTTAGTGAGATATTTATGCTAGCCTTCCAGGGGACGTGGCACCTCAATTTGAAAAAAGGGGTACACTGAGTCCATGAAAACATAAGAACCTGAATTCTTATCCAGATTTATTGAAATCATATTATTTATATACCCTTCGATAGCGATAGTGCAAACAGCGATCGATGCTGGTTATTCTTTCGAAAATCTTTGTATTTACAAGATGTATGTACTCATTTTAAAAAATGTTTTCTTAATAATTTTAATTTTTGAGAAGTCAATCTTGAATCTTATTCTTCAGTATCAGAGTATTAAAATTAAATTAATGAAGGATGCCTTTTGTGATAGTATAATACTACCGAGCAGAAATGGAAACCATTTGCGAAACTGCTGCCTGCATTGATAATTAAAAGCAACTTAATGGCATTATGCTATCAGCTTTGAGGATTGACTCTACAAAATTGACTGCTGTGATCGCATTCCAATTGCCAAAGTTGAGCTTTCTCCTTGCGAACACTTTATATAGTTGTGAGTTTGATCACTGTGTTATTTATTGCTGCTGCAAATTAACTTTTCCTCTTGGCTGTCATGGAATCCAATTTGCCAATTGACGCCTAGTCCTAGACTAGACAAAACGGTCAACGACTTTGCTGGGCATTTTGGGCTAAGACTAGCCTGGCTCGGCTCAGATCGGCACAGCTTTAAAGCAGTTAAGAGCTGGCGTCTTGGCGGCGCTCTACCTCATTTCAAATGAATTTATGTGGCGGCAAGAGGCGCCACAAAAGTGCAACTAGCCCGTTGGCTCGTAGGTGCCAAGTCTCTCTCTCTCTCTCTCTCTCTCTCTATCTTCGACTGAGTCTGTTGCTGATTTATGGCCAAAACAGGGTCGAATTCGAATAATGCTATGAAACTGCTTACCTGTGTATTCGCACTACTTGTGTGCCGCTGCCGCTGCCGCTGCCACTGCCACTGCCTCTGCATGTATCTGCATTTGTGCATGTTTATTAAACGACGACTAGCGCCAATCGACCGCCCACGTTGCGGGCTGGCTGGGCACATAAAATGCGCCAAATGCAGTTTAAACTGCAATTCCGTTTGTATTTTGGCTGCCTCTGTTTTGTTATCGCCATACAAATGGCCGCTAAATAGCAAAACTTAAAGCTAAACAACTGAGACGACGCCTACGCTGTCGCCGGCACGTCCGCTGCACTGCAGTATATGTCAGGCCATAAGCACGGCTCCCATCCCTCCCCCCACTCCCACCCGATACTGCTTTCACCATTCCTGCGTTCCCATGCCCCATGCTCACCTGCTGTTGTCAAATTGACGCTGCCTGCTGCACTAATGACGCCCTTGATATGCTCCAAGAGCCCTGAGCTGGCACTCCAGCCAGTTGACGGTTGACGGTTCGGTTCGGTTTACTTCGGTTCGGTTGTTGACTTGGCTGAAAGCCATTTCCCCTCTGATTTGCGCAAATTTGTTTTCAAAGTCGTCGTCGCCGTCTCCGTCGCTTGTAGACATGCCAAAATCAAACGAAACACTTTGACGAACTCTTTTTGGGCTTGCAAACATTTATGCATATATGCTTACAACCTTTGGGTTAGTGTTGCGAGTATTGTGTAATTTATTTTTGTTTGGCCATATTAGTTGATACTTACAACAATATTGAATACTCTGCTATATAACTCACCTGGGTGCTAGTGAGTAATTATTAATTAATAATTAAGTTTCTGATAATGTCAGTCGAATATTAACCCACTTACATTTACAATACAATAATAATGTTATTAATAGTTTTTTTGTACAATTATTTGCCGTAGTTGAGCTTAATGATGAGTTTTAAGAGACTTACATCTCGCTTCTGATACTGATTTAAACTACTACAAAATGTAAAATATCCAGTTAAAATCCAGAGCTGAAAAAAATTAAGTTTATTCCTACATATATTAGAGTGCTCAAGGGAAGATTATTCCAAAATTGAACACTTAACGACAAAAAACCATCGAGTCAAAGATGTCAAGAACCAATTATGTCCAATCTACAAGTTCTACGAAAAGCGTTCCATCTTGCTTATTAATAAGTAGACTGATAGACTTAAAACATAATATATATATATATATATATATATGTATAAAAGAATAGTTTTTTTTATTAGAATATATAATTTTTTTCTCCTGTTCAAGAGATTTTTTTATTTTTATTTCAATACTTTTCGAATCCCGTCGGGATTCGTTTCAAACTCCACAGCTGACTAAACGGACACTGTAAAAATCTCGCTGATGATGAAAAAAAAAATAATATTCGATTTTTTTAAATTTAAATATTAAAATTTGTTGTTGTCTCACAATTCGGTTTTTCTTAATGAAGCGGCTTCTGTGTAGGCGGTAAATTTGTATGTGAGAGCAAACTATAACAAAGTTTTTCTTCTTTCTGTCGATACTAAAAAGTAATATTTTGCTTTCACCTAATTTTGCCAACAAATGTTGATTATTCGGTATGTTTCTATGTAGGCAGAGAATACCTCCAACAAAGTAACTGACGCTGACATGAATATGATATGTACATACATATATATATATATATATATATTTGTGTATGTATATATATATTGTTGTAATAGTTACCCCTGCCTCAGTCAGAGCACCCGCACTCAACTGCTCTACGGGCCAGTAGACAACTTCATTGTCTCTAGGTCTGTTGGCTTCTGTTGGGTGTTTTTAACTAAATGCTCATAAATTTCGCCATTGTGAAACGCCTCTCCCATACACACTTACACACACACACACACACACACACACTCACACCCCAGTCAGCCCACTCTAACAGCAATTAAGTAATTCTCACATCGTTTATGCAAAATACGAGAATTTTCAGGCACTCGAACCCCAAGACAGTGCTCAGTGCTCAGTGCTCGAGTTGTTGTGGGTTCGGTTTGCCACCCAGTTCCAGCTGCTTGCTCGCGTGCAACCTCAACACCCTTTGCTTGTACTCAAGTGGCCCATAAATTGTTGGCCAAGTTTTGCACGGGGCACGCCCACTTTCCGTTGCGCTGCTTTGACAACGGCAATTACCTTGAACTCTTTTATTTTGTCTGGCTTTTTTTTTTTGTTTCAGTGGAAGCCCTCACTTACACACACAATTTGGCATATCAAAAACGAAATTTATCTATATTGTTCTTTGGGTTAGCTGCCGGGCACGAGTCGATCTCTCTTTCCCTCTCTCGCTCTCTCTCTCTCGCTCACTCACTCACTTGAGCTGTCTCCATCTGTCTGTCTGCCGGTTTTGTCAGTTTAATTTTTTGGTTTATTTCACGTTTCAGTTTAAATGACGCCAAATTGCTGGGCCATTAGCTGCTTGCTCTATATGCATATTGCGCCAGTGGAACGATGGCCCCGGGGGGCACACAATCCTTATTTATATATAGTAGTAAATAATTTTTATAGTCAATCGTTTGCATTTTAATATCAATTTCGCATGGTTCGGCTCTTTTCTGGCCCAGTCTGCTCGGCGTCCAATCACTGACTGACGTTTATTTTTTGGCTGCCTTATGAGACCGTAACTCGTAATTCGTAATTGTTGATTGCATTTTTACTGTCAACGTTTAGCACACAACGTGCTTAGCTTTGCCGGAGTCTACCACAAAATGTTTCGACAAAAGGGTTATCGTTAATAACAACAACAACAACAACAACAACGACAGCAATATGAACAACTCAATAAGGGCCCTTGTTAGCAATGTTGCAGTGCAGTCATGGAATGTTAACTGACTGATTGACTCTTTGGCAGCTGATCGATATTTGTTATGGTCGGTATATCGTCGATTATAAACAATTTGCTGGCAGGGCTGTTTATGGTTTCAATCAGCAGCAGTGCAATACTCTAAGCCAATCAGTCAAATGGTTGAATAAATCTAAAGTCATAACTTTATTCGGCTGTCAACGGGGCAAAAATCTATATTGCTTTTGTTAAATGTGGTCGAGTGTTAAGAATTTGTAAGAAAATAAGCAGAAGTAAGTAGTCCATATCACACATATTATATATTTTACTGATCAGGATCAACAGCCGAGTAGATTTAGCCATGTTCGTCAGTCCATCTTTTTATGCAACCCGATTTAAGTTGTGGTCTTGTATAGGTTGGTCAAGTTTACTTAATTTTATCGATAGCTTCCTTAGTTTCGCAAATATTAATACAAATCGATTTCCAATAGCATTTAAGCGACAATTGTAAATATATGTCCATTCAATTTATGTATGTATAATACACCATACAAATCTCATTATGATCGGATAAGGAACACAGGTTTTGTTTAGCGAAAACTTGTTTTGATATTGATACTATGAGCGAGCCTACAAAGTATTAAACAGCTGTCTCGACTAGAGTAGCTCACTTATCGAAATCAAACAAATTTGAACTGTTGATTTACTGATGGCAAGAGAGCTTCAAAAATGATCAGTATGAAAATTATAATTACCCATTAGGTCCTCTCCCTGCATCGAACAGAGTATTATTTGGTTGGCAGACACATTTTTTCTAGTCTGCTTCACGCACATTTATAGCCACGCAAATGAAGTATCATATTATTTAATGTACGTATTTAAATTAATTTATACACTTTAAATTAAGTAATTTACAAAAGAAAGGAACACAAAATCGCTGACACTTTTGGGTCAATTCAATCGATGGCTATTACTGCTTTTCTCGTTCCCGCTCCCGCTCTCGGTCCCTCTGCCGCTCCCGCTCCTTTTCCAGCAGATACATTTGTTGCTGCTGCATAAAGTGTTGCTGCTGCTGTTGTTGCTGCTGCTGCAGGTGTTGCTGATGGTGTTGCAGCAACTGTTGCTGCTGTTGTGGTGTCAGCGCAGCCGCCTCGCCCTGCTGCTGAAGCAACTGTTGCTGATGCTGGACCAGTTGCTGTTGGAACTGCTCACGCAGACGCTGATGCTCCTCGACATCCAGATCGCTGCCATAGTCATCCATGTCGATCACTTCATCCTCGTCATCCTCCTCGATGTCCTCGTCGTCTTCCACATCCGTGGAGCTGTGCTGGGAGCCCTCGTGCTTGGCATCGTCGTCACCATCGCCACTGCCTGCACCACCCCCGCCGCCGGAGGAGCTGCCCTTATTGCTCTTCGTATCGCTGCTGTCGCCGCCCTCTTGTTGCATGCGCTTGTGCTTGGTGCGCCGGTTCTGGAACCAGACTTTGACCTGCCCGGGCGAGAAATACACAACAACTTCAGTTCTCAGTTCAGTTTGGTTAAATGCAGTGCAATGATTGGGGAGCTCAACCCTTTGGCCAAAATACAGGAGGTCGTAAATATATTTAACGAGTCTTTTAATTCTATTTGCCTGCCTGCGCCTGCCGCCCAGCTATGCCAGCAAAGGACCCACCCCTTGCTTGCCCCCTCTTAGCGCTAATAACTTGGTAACTCGCGCCACTTGGCTGGCTAACGACCACCTGACATGCAATCACTTAACGCTCGGCCAAAGGGGTTGCTCCCGCACCCCGGGGTGGTTGGGAGGGTTGGAGTTTGTCCGATTGGGCAAGGCATTTATTGAATTTGATGCGCATTAAGCATGGCCAACGAAAGGGTTAACCCGCCCCTTGTGGGTTACAAATGGGAATGGGATCGTGATCGGGATTGGGGGCTGTTTGCTGCTTACCTGTGTCTCCGTCAGGCTAAGTCCTTGCGCCAGCTGCTTGCGCTCCGCGCCCACCACATAATGATTGCCCTCAAAGGCGTGCTCCAGCTTAAGCAATTGCGTCGGCGAGAAGGCGGTTCGCACCCGCTTCGGCTTGCGGAACGGTTGCAGCAGGAAATCTGCAAGGGTTGAAGATAAATAGATCAGTTAGAGTACATCACATATATTACTTAGTTTATTATGTTCTTTTTTTTAACCTCATTGTGATTTGTATAAGGTGTATAGAAACCTCAAAAACTGAGCACCTCTCTCTTCATACCCAACATATATAGAGAATTATATCTTGGCTGGATTTACGTCTTAACTTTAATGTAGAATACCACACACAAAATGCCGATTTTACTTTTAGTAGCTTTGTTGTTTTTAAACGAGTTGAAATTTCATTATGTCCTTAAGCTTAAAACGACGGGCAATATTTACAGATCTGTAATCATAACATAATCTAGAACATTTTCAAAATGTGTTAGGATCCAATTTCTTCTATTCTGTTTGATATTGTATATAGATGCCCAATGTTCACCTTAAGCTTGCCACTTTAAATCATTTCCTCCTCTTTTATTCTAGAACATTAAATTTAAGAAACTAAATTTGTTGATTTTCAAATTGTAGGTCGATTTTTAATGAAAGTTGCAAGGCATCTAATAAGCCAGGCTACAATACATGTTTACATTTTCTCCCTTTTATAAATAATTCAGTAATTATCACAATGGAGTAAGTACTGGCAATAATATCATAATGAAATAATAATGCTATAAAAGATATAAGATATAAGATATCTTTCGTTCTGCCTGTTATATACTTTTGCACAACCTCATTACATCCATTTCCATTTTTTGTTGGGTTCGGTGTATGAATCTGTGGCAAAGTACAGGTGATTTCTAATTGAGTGAAAGTAACGAACATTTCAATGTTTCAATTAGAGCTGTTGTCAAAACAATGTGACACAAATGTAACATCACAAAAAGAACTGGCAATTATACTACTTAATCACGTTATTTTATTTGCATTTATTTATGCCATTAAGTTAATAATCTTTCGCTGCTTATATGGCTATCACAATAAGGTTAGCTCGAAATTTGAGCGCTTTTCCAAGCATGACACAGCTCGTTTTTTGTGTTTTCATCAGGTGTTGAAAATACAGTAAACATGGCCGCCGAAGCGGCTGGAGCATGCAACATGACCGGCACCAAATTGGCGCTATAATTTGTTAATTACTTTGGCGAGCAACCCGCCAAGCGTACAAGGGCTTTGCCTTCATTCGTGTTGCTATTGGTGTGATGGTGGTGCTCTTTGTGATGGTGGTGTGGTGGTGTTGGTGGTGCTGGCATTGCCAATTAGGCGACATGGTCCTCAATTTGCTGCTTATGATTTCCGCGAATGCGGCGAGCGAGTCTGAAAGATGCCGCACATTCAGACCTGGCAAACTCATTACAAAACAATAAACAAATTTCCAGACATGGGGCCTACACACACACACACACACGCACACACACACAGATACACACAAACACACTCAAAGGGGAAAAAACAAAGGCCAATGGATCGTGCCGCTTCTGCTGTCGGCGTCGGCGCTGTGTCTGGCATCGTCTCGGCATCGCTGATAAGCGAAACAATTGCGCAGAAGCCGCCAGAGCTGCAGCCTGAGCCAGAGCTGGAGCCTGTGGCTGTGCCTGTGCCTGTACCTGTGCCTGGATGTGGGCCTGGTTCTGTCCTCGCTGGAACGCCAAGTTGAACACTTTAGCGCGCCTAAATGTCGACAAAAGCCGCCAACGACGCCTTCTCCTCCTTTACCTCGTCGATGCCTCCTCCGTAGATGCCAACGTGGCCCATTGTTCAAGCTTGGGGGCCCATTGCACAACGTGATATTTTGACGTTTATCACGATTTGTGGAATAAGCCAGTGGCTCTGCCTTGAACTGAGCTGCGTGCAGTTAGCAAATTTTCAATTGAGCCACAATTTGAATATTGATATGGTTATGGATATGGATATAAGCGTGGAGTGTGGAGCGTGGAGCAGCGCAAGCTACTGTTCAAGATTCAGCTGAGATTTGCAATAATACAGCAGGCAAAGCCAGGCCATTCCATAATTATAATGATTAAGTAAGAAATGTGAGCTGAATGGTAATCCTTTCGAGTCACCTGCAGGAAACTCTATTCGCACATTGTCACATTACAAAATCAATATTGACATTGCGAATTGGCAGAGGGCAACTGTTGCTGCAAGGATAACACAGCGTACAGGATATTTAGCTCAGAAAAACAGAAAGAGCAGCTAAGCCTCGCACAATACAAACAAAAATAAACAGGAGAAAAGACAGAGCATTAGCTGCCCCTTATCTCAGGCCTCTAGCTTGCAACGGCAGCAACAGCAGCAACAGCAGTGGCAGCTACTGAATTCTCTTGTTGTGTCGCGTTGGGTTTTTGCTATCTTGTTAGCTAAAAAAAACAGTATGTAACAAAAACGAAAGAGAACGAGAACTTGTCAATTTGACACTTCATAAATGCAGGCTGTGTATCTTGTATCTGACAGATGCAGGCGACTCGATGCCTCGTGTGTGCCTCGAACTTGACAAACAACGAACTTGCCACAAACAGTTTGCCGTGATCCACTTTTCTTTTCTTTTTTTTTGTTGTATGCTACCGCCTGCTCTGCTGACATTTGTTACATTTGACAGCTAACAACGCCGGCAACAACAAGATGCAACTGCAACTGCAGCAGCAGCAGCAGCAGCAGCAAACGCAACTTATAATTGATAGTTGTGCGCCGCACAATAGCCACTTAATTATTTTTTCATAGACTGTCTCCAACGTCATCGAGCGTTTCTCTCAATGAACTGCGCGGGTTGCTTTTTTTCTCTCTGTTTTTTTTTTTATGGCTCACAAAGAAACCGCCGTGCGAAAATACGCGCAATTGACAATTAATTGATGTGTCCGCTCTGCGCTTGCTGCTGCTTCTTCCTCTTCTTCTGTTTCTGCTTCATGTTAGTGTTGTTGTTGTTGCTGCTGCTGCTGCTCACACCCTTGTCAGCTGTCATTTATATACACACACATATATGCTTCGTCTGTTTCATATGATTGAAGTGCTGCTGCTGCCTCAGTTGCCACATTTTGCAGCTCCCTTCGATCTCTGATCGATCGTGGCTTGTGTGTTGTTGTTGCTTTTTTTTTTTTTGCCCGCCTTATTATTTATCACTTATGTACAATTGTAGCTATGTTTTTTATGCCATTTTGTTTGTTGTTTTTTTTTTCGTATTTGGTTTCGGTTTAAGTTTTATGCTCTCATGATTTTTTCATTAATTTATTGGCATTCGCAACAGGAATTGCAATTACCACGCGGGACATTGACACCAAAGACTAAATCAGAAATTGAAATCGCAAAGGCAATCAAATATACTGTCAGTTAGGGATATGTTTTTGTTTTTTTTTTTTCGTTACAGTAGTGGCAATAAAGCGAAATTGTCATCAATGGATAGTTGATTATACACATGAGAATAGTTTTGATTTCGAAGGGTGCCGACGGTTTCTTACTTGCACTTGATATTGTTACATTTGTTATACGAAAAGTTGTACACGATTTTTGTAAATATTTAATTGTTAGCCCAGTTGAAGGGGTAAATAGTCTGACGACATATAATGTGTGCCTCTCTTTTAATCCAGTATAAACTGTATTTTCATTTCAACAATACGTATTTATTAGCTCTCGTTTTCTCCCTTATCATTCAATCCTTTAACTGGAATGCAACTTGCAGCTTGCTTTCAATTCGAACCTGTTGTAACAGCTCTAATTAAGCTGTCATCATCAACATTATCATCATAATCTTTAGCTGCCCACACCTTACCTTAGCCCTGCCACAGTATTACAGTCGTTGAGGAGCACTTACAATTAATGAAATCGTTATGCGAAACATTGACATTTCCATTTTCACGTTCATAAATCAAGCGAAAATTACAGCACTTAACTAACGATACCAAAACACACTAAAAAAAAAAAAGAAAAGAAAAAAAACAACGCCTGCCTTTTTATAATGGAACATCTCATACAACATAATTAAGGCGTAACAAAGTTCGTTCGAAAGCAGGTGAAAGGCGTGTGTGAGTGTGCCGAAAATAATTTAACCAAAAATACAAAAGAAAAAACGGGGGAAAAAATACAAAAATTCTTAACCTCATGTTAAGTACATGTAAAAAAATGGCGTGGCATGAAAATTAAAATTGTAATTATGAGAGCAGAGCGAAAAAAAATGAGAAGTCTGCATAAAAAAGGTTAAATAATAATAAATGACAATGTTGGAAGGCGCAGACGGTTTGGGATCACTCTGCATGTAGACGACCGAACGAGTGGATGAGTGGATGAGGGGCAGAAGAGTGTCGAGAAATGGTAACTGGTAAATGGTAAATGGGAATTGGAATTGGTCTGGCGTTGGGCGGCATTTCACTTTTGTGTGTGTATGTGTGTGTTTTTGTTTGCTTGGATGCTCCAAAACCTCAATTAAAAACGCATTAACATTTCACTCGTTGCACTTTTTTCTTGCCACAGTACATGTGTGTGTGTGTGTGTGTGTGTTCTACATACACCGTAGGGGCTCTGCTCAGCGAGTGGCGCCGTCGCTGTCAAGCGCCATTAATTGGTAATTTTGAGTCTACTCATACACACACACTCACGCACATACACACACACACACACACACACACATACACTAGCACACACCCATCACACATACGTACACACACACGCACACTGGGCATTTAGGTACGCTGCTTGACCTAACGATGTGTGTAATGTTATTTAAACAATTTAATTAAAATGTAATTTGTTTGAGTATTACTTATGAAAAAGGGCTCGGTTTGGTTTGCTCTGTTTGCCACACAACGCCCCTCACCTCTCCCTCCCACTTCACCCGAAGTGCTCCCTCAACTCCTCCCTAGCTTCGGCTATTCGAAATGGTTATTGCCTTCTGCAATGGCTGCTGCTGCTGCTGCTGCTACTGCTGCTGCTGCTGCTGCTGCTGCTGTTGCTGCTGCTGCTGATGATGATGTTGATGATGATGATAAGGCTGATGGACGTCTAATTTACTTATAATAAATGTTTGCAATTTGCTTATTTAACTTTAATTATAAGGTGCAGCCACAACAAAAACAACAACAATAACAACAATGAGAACAGTTTCTGGTTTTAACTGAGTAATTGCTTGGTTCTAAGCTGTTATGGAAAGAGTGCTAGAGGATTATTTATTCTCTGTTAGTTCTGAACCTAATGCATGTAAATTCTTGTATCTCAAGTGTATATAATTTCATACTGTTGTTGATTGTTTTAGCATATATTAAAAAACTTTAATAAAAAAAAGACAAGTCAAAATTACTTATCTAAACTTTTTATTTTGTAAATTTATTAACACAATTCAACAAGTCGGGTTAAATAAAGATTTAATACTTACTCTAAAATATTCAGTTAGAATTTCGAGCTATGGGAGAACCTTATGAAGGTGAGGAGTTGTGATATTTTTAACGCAATGGAGATAAGGTATATATATTCTTTATCAGCATCAGTAGCCGAGTTGATACAGAATTGGTCATTTGTTTCTCAATTTTTTGTGAAAGTTTTTCCCTCAGTCATTTTGTTGAAGCTTTGCATATATTCATCTTTTTGCTACAGGTAGCAATGTTGTCATCTGTCATATGTTGAACCCAACTGGATCGGTTCTTTATAACACATAGCTTACATAGCGATTGATCGAAAAATAAGTTTTTATATAAAAAAAAAACAGTCTTCTCTAATAAGTTATCCCAAACAAACTTACCCAATATGCGAATTATTATGTTCCACATATTTGGAGCAAAATTCATGGAGATCAAGCTATGACATCATATAGTTCCCATAGGAACGATCTGTCGTAAGATGAGTTCTTGTCTTATATACTATGTGTGTTTTTGTTTACCTTTCGATAAGTATTTAACTCTCAGTCAAATGGAGTTCTATATAAATTAAATAATTAACTTGATATTGAGAATATCCTCATTTCAATAACAAATTAAGAATTTTGTGGGGATCGCTTTCACGTGAGCTAGAATGATTGATAGGGAATACTCACTGCCTGGAAAACGTGGAAATATGCGTCCGTGACGACTGAGTAGCCAGGGATACAGCGTATAGCTATCACGAATTAGATGGGGTGCAGTCACAAATGGATGATGCCCATGGGGCGGAGGATGTCCCGGATGGGGGCCGCCCGGAAAAATGGCCAGTGGATGTCCGGGCACAAGATGCGGCAACGGCGGCGGACCATGATGTGGCCCCGTTGGCACGGGCGGATGCTGAGGATGTTGTTGCTGCTGCTGTTGCTGCTGTTGTTGTTGCTGTTGCTGCTGTTGCTGCTGCTGATGATGATGGTGCGCCAAAGCGGCGGCCATTTGAAACTGTGCGGCGAGGAATGGCGGAGGCGCCGCTGCTGTGGGTCGCATTGGCGACGGATTGCCCGGCCCCGTACCAGTGGGTGAGACGCTGTCCGCGCTGCGTGCTGAAGCCCCAAGTAAAGCTAGATTCTGTGGTGCCGGTAATGGTAGCGGCCGTATAAGTCCGGGCAGCGCAATGGGTGCACAAGGCGCCACTGGACCAGCGCCGGATGGCGTTGGCGATGGGGAACGGCTAGCCGACGGCGGTGGACTGCGTGAACGATCATCCAGGGAGACGCGTCGCCTGCAATAGATGAAGCCACGCGGCGTTCGCCGCTCGCTAGTGGGTGATGTGGGTGCAGCCAGCTGTACCGGACTCTCGCCACGCGCTGGCGATGCAATGACGCTGACACGTTGCGTCGGAGGAGGTGGCGGCGGCGGCGGTGGCTTCGCAGGCTGGCTGGACTCGGCGCCGACAATCGAGTCAATGCTGAAGGCCAGCTTTGGCTTACTGCTGCCGGAGGAATTGGTTGCCGCTGACGTTGCTGGGGCGCTGGACGCTGTTGTGGAGCTGACGGACACCACAAAAGGATTCATCGGCGCCATCGGCAGCATGTTGAACGTTTGACGGCCGCACGTGACCATTTGGCAAACAAGTCAAGAGTCGGCTAATTGAAAATACCGCACAACAGGGACAATAGTCGATGATGGGTGCAGTCAGTGGGATTGATTATCACACACACAGTCACAGTCACAGACACAAACACAAGAAGAAAGCAGAAGCACTCACGGAAGCACATAAATAATTGAAGTAAGAGTCAAGTTGAATGCATCAGCGATTGGCATCCGTTGTGGACATTGATAAACTGGAGCGCGTATTCGATGGCGCTGCTGCTGCTGTTGCTGCTGAAGCGTTGCCGTCGCACTTCGCTTAACAATTGACGGACACGTCCGTCGATTGCGGTCGTCGCGTTGATGATGAGCACTGTCAACGCCATTAGCATTATGCGAGCGTCTAAAGGCGTCTAATAGCCAGCTCTGCTGCCAGTTGCTGCTGCTGTTGCTGTTGCTGCTGCTGTTGCTGTTGGGGCGGCGGAGGGGCGTCGGTTCGAGAGTATCGAGTTTTTTGAGCAACGTGATTTTGCGGTCGCGTGGCGGCTGCCGCTAAACGCGCGCGCGATTGTGTCTGGGCACAAAAATCACAAAAGCAAACTGCCAGTCGCTTCATTTTTATTTTTTTTATTCTCTTTTTCGGCTGCCTGGCATTCCAACGGAGCTTCGTAGCTGTTGTGTGCCAGTTGTCGTCTCGCTTGCCCCCATGGCGAGTGGCGCATGCGCCAAAGCAGCGCAGATAAATGTGCCTCTTCACAAAACCTGCTCCCCAACCACTCGTTTCTGTATGTGTGTGTGTGTGTGACCACTCGTCCGTCTGGTCCACGTTTGACGCGCTCTCTCTCTCTCTCTCTCGCTCGCTCTCTACTTATTTTCAGCTGGCTTTGCTCTCTCGCTCCGCGGGGCAGCGTTTGGCCATTTTTCGCACCAGTTTATGACAGCGAAACAAACAATTTGCGCTAAACAAAACAGCATCATTAAAGCGTTTGTGGTTTTAGTGCCTAACTTGCTGCTGGCAGAGAGCACCACTGTGTGCTGGTGCCGGTGCTGGTGGTGGTGGTGGTAGTGGTGTGAGGCGCTATTGGAAAGTGGGCAGGCGGTCAGCTACAGTGGGCACCCAGTAATTGTTGTCCGATAGACGATGTAAAATTGAGTGGAAGTAGGCTTGAGAATAAAATGTATTCTTCGATTGGGAATGATGCTTACAAATGATTTTACATTTCAATTAATTAATATAATAATAAACTAAATAATATATAAATTATTCATATACTTCTAATATTCTAATTGTTTCAGCTAAGTACCCAATATCTCATATCAAATTTTTATTATAATGCTTTGGCTAAACATCAAATTTCTAAATATGTAATAAGAATATAATATCAGTTTGTATATATATTATATATATTGCTGTACAATTATTGATTTCAAGACAAACGTACAACACAAAAGTAAGAGCGTCTATCTTGGCCTAGTCGAAGATGACATATTTGTAGACCTTGTATTAGATTTAGATGTAGATATTATTATAAACAAACTGGGAACTGAATATTCCATGGAGTTTCTGTTATTTTTTAAATTTCATTTATATATTTATTTATTTTATTTTTTGTATATATATCGAAAAATTGCTGTATTTTTGTAAATTACTCGTACCACTGTTTTTACATTTCTGCGACGGCGTCAACATCATTGCTTATTTTCATAGACGCCCCGTAGTTAAAGTGGCTCCCTCCTTCGCTCTGCGCATCCCTTTTTGTGCCTCCTCCTCCCCCTGCTCTTCCTTGGTGGACAAAGTGATGCACGAAGTGCATCGTCATCGGTCATCGAATCTTCATCATGTTGTTGGCGGCCCAAAGAGCCGGCCACATAAAAATGGGCGGGACCTCGTTGTCTGCACCTTCAATAAAGAGCAACTGCATTTGCACACATACATATTAACACACACACGGTCAAACACACAGCTTAGCAGCCTCCTTGGCTGTGAGAGTTGTGAAAATAAACACCTCGTTAAAGCTGCAGAGGAGGCATAAAACATGCAGCGCCAACATCGACATCGTCATCATTGGCATTGGCATACATAGGTAAATATATGTATGTGCATACAACATCTATATGTGGATATGTGGATATAGGGAGCAGTCGTCCAGCTCAAGTTGGTGGTTCAGGCTGCTTCTGCTGCTGCTCCTCTCTGCCTCTCTCTCTCTATCTCTCTCTCTCTCTCTCTCTATCTCTCTCTGTGTGTGTGCAGATTGCGGACAGCCGACGAGGCTGGCAAATAAATTGACGTGCGTTTTGTGTTGGATTTGTATGCATCTAGATAAAGTTTTCTGTCTGTCGTTGCTGCTCTCGCTCTCCAAATCTTGTTCTGAGTTAGCTTCTTGATCCGCTCCTTCTCATCTTCTTCTTCTTCTTCTGTTTCTTCTGCTAGAGCTGCATTTGTGCAGCGTGCCCCTGTGTGTGTGAGTGTGTGTGAGTGTTGTGGCACCTTTGGGTGCGGTAATTGTAATTGGTTTTTGTTGCTGACCCAGCCAGCTGAATTTTTCATGTGTTTTTCTTGTTGTTGTTGTCTTCTGCAAAGTGTTTGGCTGCCTCACGTTTTGGGATAAATCATTTAATTAGTCAGACAATGACTATGTGCCTGCAACGCTTCTGCTTCTTCATCTGCTTCATCTTCAGAACGCCATTGCTGTTTGGCGCTCTCAGCAAAGGTTATCGCAGTTTCCGTTCCGTTCCGCTCCGCTCCATTGTTGTTATTGTTGTTGTTGGTTGGGTCATGCAGATATCGCATGCATTGCCAATTGCCAATGGGAAAGAGGCGTGTTTGCTTATTGAAATATGACCAAAGCAATGCACCCAAAAGCAATTATTAAACTTTGTTTATTATTTGCCAGATATTCCGGTAACTGTTTTTGGCTGGCTGACGCGCCCCAAGTGCTTCGAGCACAAAAACGTTGAGAAACAAAAGAAAATCACACGTCCATTTTGCAACTAATTAAAGCCACTTTGTTTTAAATTAACAACTTTATATAGACATTGGATACATAATGAAAGCCAAAGTAAGCTGTGTGTGTGTGTGTATGTGTGTGTGTTATTAGTTTATGTAGATACAATATGCATATACAAAGTTCAGCCATGTAAAACTGCAGCGCACAGCGAATGCGTTCCACAAACCAAAATTTCCACGTTCCACACTCACAGCGCAGATAACAAGAAACGGGCAAACCTCTCCCATTGGCTGGCTTCCTGAGCAAACGAGCGAGCAGCAGACAGAGCGCGAGTGAGGGAGACAGCGCGCGAGAGAGAGAGAGAGAGAGGAAAAGAGAATGTGGCATTTAGAGGGGCGGCAGTTATTATTGTTGTTGATTTTGTTGTTGTTGCTGCTGCTGCTGCTGCTGCCAGCCTGCAACATAGTACAAATCCAATTCATTTAATAATTGCCAACGAGATGGAGCTCATTATCACGAGTACTTTGCACGGCTTTGCCAGAGAGTGAGAGAGAATGGGTCTGTATTGTATGTGAGTGTGTTGGTGTGTGTGTGTGTGTGTTGGTGTGTGCGTGTTGGTGTGTGTGTGTTGGTGTGTGTGTGTTGGTGTGTGTTTGTGTGTGAGTGAGTGGTCATATCTGGTTGGCTGTCGCTGTCACTCTCTAGTTACAGTTACAACAGCTACAGCAATGGATGTTGCTTATGCAGCATCCCCCCTCCCCCACCATAATTGGGAATCAGAAGCGAATTGATTGCGCCGCCTAAGAGTTTTGAGCTAATGTGTGCAGTACGTGTGTGTATGTGTGTGTGTGTGTGTGTGTGTGTGTGTGTGTGTCTCGTTAGCGTTTTCATTAGACGCACAAATTAGGAGACAGCAATTGTCTCATCTCTGATTTCTGTGCTCTTCTGCGCTGTCTGTCTGTCTGGGCAGCAGGGGGCAGCAGCAAAGTGTTGGGGTGTTGGGGGGAGCGGCATTAAATGGCGATGATGGCGGCGGCATCCGAGTGTCAATTAAAGCAGCTGCCTTTTATTGCTGTTGTTGTTGTTGTTGTAGTTGTTGTTGCTGCTGCTGCTGCTGTCGTTGTCTGCCCGCCCGCTCGACTCCTGACTGGCTCTTTAGCGCATCATAATTGGGAGTATCTATAGATACACTCCCTGCCCTGCCTGGGTTTGTCAGCTTTGTGGCGACTCTCAATGTTGACACAACTAATTGGCATTATTTGTTTTAATAATTGAGCATTTTGGTGCGACGACGACGTGGCACTGATTTAATTAAAATTTTGTCCGTGCCGCCTTGGAGATGCGCTGCCACAAAAAGGGTTGCCACGTTGCTCGCTTTTTGTTTTTGTATTTTTATTTTTGGTCCATTGTTTATTTTTTGGTGTAAAAGACAAAATTTTAATTGAATTTTAATTGCGCGGATTTGTGGGCCGCGTGACCTGTGCCTCAATTTGAACTTCCGATTTGCCGTCGCTAAGCTTGCGATTTAATTAAATGCAAATAAATATTTTGGATTTGCATTGCAGCCAATTGAGCGCTTTGTTCTGTTGCAGTTGCAGTGGCCATTGCATGCCCCGTTTCAGCATCAGCATCAGCCTTAGCTTTAGCTTCAGGCTTAGCGCAGCAAATCCGAAACTTAACTTGGAATTTGTGCGCCTCAAAGCCAGTGGAAATTCGAGATCAGCGCTGGACTAACGCTGGGATCACCAGAGATCGCAGTCGCTGCCGTTGTCGCGTATTTAATCCAATTATCGATGCTCGATCCGGTGCCCATTGCCAATCCTTTCGGGGCCACAAACAATTAGAAGCTGACTCAACTTTATGAGTGGGCGGTCCATGGGATTAAATGCCCGTAATGTGTGTGTGTGTGCATCCTCAGCTACCGGCGAGGAGAGATGCACAGTAGGTTGCAGCCGCTGTGGCTGCTACGAGAACAGATTATCGGCATTACCGCAATTATGGAACTTGGGCAGGTCCTGGCGTAATTTCAATGCGGTTTTCCGGCCAGCAGCGTGTCCAATCGTACAATCGACACAAGCCACTACCTGAAGTATTAGCGAGCATACCTCAGCAATTCTATGAAAAGTACAACGGGTTAAAGAAAGAGAAAGCTGAATTGTTGTTGTATACCAAAGTCGGTGTGTTATATCCGATCTTGATTAAATTTTTCAGATATCAATAATATCTTGGGGTGTTCTGTCGGAAATCGATTAATATCGATATTTTAAATATATAATTATCTAGTTCTTAAAGTCTTTCGGATCCGAGTTTTCATATAGACGGCAATCGGTAATGAATAATTCGACTCGGCTTTTAATGCTCAGCAAGAATATATTCACTTTGTGGGTCTTGGAGATACTTGTTTCTGCCTTTTACAACTTTCGTCTATAGCCTTCATTATAACCTTTTTATATTTATTTAATGGATTTACGGGTCAAAAGGCAGTTGTGCAATATTGTTCAACCGTCTCTAAGTGGGATTTTTTTTGGAACTGAACTTTTACTTTAAGTGCAGTATTAAGATTTTCACTTAGTGTTTTCTC